ACGAGCTCTGCTCAATGTCTGCCCAGCGCTTGATAAGGAGGAGGAGGAGGAGGAGGTGGAGGAGGAGGAGGAGGAGCAGGAGGATATTGAGGAGAAGGAGGAGGAGGAGGAGGAGGAGGCGGAGCCGGCGTCGCGCTCAAGGGACTGGCGGGAGGGAGGTGGTCTTCTGAGAAGGCGGGGGGCTTCACAGAAGGCACGGTCGTCCGTAGAAGGGCCAGGGGGCTTCCGAGACGGACCCGCTTTCTTAGAAGCCGCCCCCTCGCGCCACCCCCTTGTACTCGCCGCCACAGGAGGATAGGGGAGGGATATGGCAGGTTCGCATCGCGTCGATGCGGCGGCGACCCCAGGCGTGGGCATTCGAGATTAAACGGTATCGGATGCCTGGAATCGGCCGACATCGAAGGATCCGTGCTGCCAGGCTCAAGGTTGATCAGGCGGGCGGTAATGGCGGGGCGACCAAAATGGGGAGGTGAAGATAAGGGCCCTAAAGGGGCCTTTTACGGCCCTTTTGGAGCCAGCAGAGGCACCTTTTCTTCATCCCCCGTTTTGGTCACCCCCCATTACCACAGGGCCGAGTTGAATGATCCACGCGCTGTCGGAGATTCACGCCGAAGTCGCCACGGTACGAATTTGCCGCAGCTGCTCGGAGGCGGAGTCCGATCCGCCTCGACGGACGCGTCGCACTCTGGAGAGTATTTGCAGGTCAAGGGTCCACAGCAGAGAGGCAGTTCACCCTGAGGCCAGAGGATTCTGTTTGACATACACAGCCAGTGGTCCCAGCTAGATGGGGCAAGAGTCGAAGGATCGGTTGTGGCCCTTACCCCCTTCGGGTGGAGCCCCCTGTCGAGCTGCCTCCAGTCAAACGTGCGTGGAAGCTCCAGTGGCTCACATGCTTGCACGAGCTTCGCCAGCCTTGCACCACTTGTGAAATACGCGCAGCGTTGACATCTACATACAAAGGACCAGCCACTACAGTCAATCACAACACGTCAAGAGGATTACTGAGGGAGGGGGAAGGAGGAAGGAGGAGGAGGAGGAGGAGGAGGAGGAGGAGGAGGAGGAGGGAGGCGGAGAAAGGGGAGCAGGAGGCGGAATAGGAGGAAGAGGAGGAGGAGGAGGAGGAGGAGGTGAACGACGACGACCAAGAAGAGTAAGAGGGAATGGGAGAACGAGGGGGGGAAGAGGTTGATGAGGAGGAAGAGGAGGAAGACAACGGCGACGACATCGAGGAGAGTGATGAGCCCTTGAGGGTATTGGCCCCGCCCCCGCACAGGACGCCCCCGATTTCGAGGCGGTGCCCCGGATCATCGGCAAGCGGGGGTCGAACACGAAGGGCATCGCAGCGAAGACAGGACCAGAGGGCGCCAACATATTGATCTCCTTCCTCCCGCTCCAGCCTTTTCCTGTTGCCCGCCCCCGCCCCGAGCCGCGATCCTTCTGGTGGGCGTGTGGGCGTCTCTGGGGCGGGCGGGGGGTTGCGCCCCTCGGGGCTTTCTCCCCTTCTACACGTGGTCGTCTAGCGCTTAGCGCGACGTTCTCCCCTGCAGCGTCGTATCCTCCTACTTCTCCTCCACAGTTACACTATATGAATACTACTCTCCTCTCTCCCCTGATGACGTCTGGAAGATATCTGGCCCCCCTCTGCGTGTTGTTTTTTACACGCAGGATTCCCAGGAGTTGGGTTTTCGATTAGTTTGCTCCCCCGCATGGTTCGCGGGGTTTGGGTTATCTTCCCAACCGCGTCTCACCCGCGTTTCTCCTCCTCATCCTCTTCCCTCTCCGTCTCGCTCGCACAGCTCGCAAAGCGTGGCAGGCGCGGCACTTCCTCGACACCAGAGGGGGTGCGCAGGGGGGGTTCAATGCGGCCTCTATGCGTGCCAGGGTCTGAGAGCGTGGCAGGCGTGGCATCTTCTCGACACCAGAGGGGGTGCCCACGGGGTGGGGGCGCTATGCGTTGCAGGCTCGCAGGGCGTGGCAGGCGTGGCATTTTCTCGACACCATAAGGGGGTGCGCAGGGGGGGGTCTCTCACCGCGGCCGCTATGCGCGACGATCGTCCAGGGAATAGCAGGCGTGGCATTTTCTCAACACCATAGGGGTGTGCGGGGGGGGGGCTCTCAGCGCGGCCGCTACGCACGCCGGTCGTGGAGGGCACGGCAGGCGTGGCACTTTCTCGACACCGTAGGGGGGGCGCAGGGGGTGGTTTGTGAGCGCGGCCGCTTTGCACGCCGGTCGTGCAGGGCGTAGCAGGCGAGGCATTTTCTAAACACCATAGAGGGTGCGCAGGGGGTGGTTTCTGAGCGCGGCCGCTACGCACGCCAGTCGCGCAGGGCATAGCAGGCGTGGCATTTTCTCGACACCATGGGGGTGCTCAGGGGGTGGTTTGTGAGCGCGGCCGCTGCGCACGCCGGTCGTGCAGGAGAAAGCAGGCGTGGCGTTTCCTCGACTGGTCTCTCAGCGCGACCGCTACGCACGCCGGTCGTGGAGGGCATAGCAGGCGTGGCATTGTCTCGACATCGTAGGGGATGCACAGGGAGTGGTCTCTGAGCGCGGCCGCTTTGCACGCCGGTCGTGCAGGGCATAGCAGGCGTGGCATTTTCTCGACACCATACGTGTGCGCAGGGGGTGGTCTCAGCACGGCCGCTATGCACGCCGGTCGCGCAGAGCATAGCAGGCGTGGCACTTTCTTGACACCGTAGCGGGTGCGCAGGGGGTGGTCTCTCAGCGCGGCCGCTACGCACGCTGGTCGCGCAGGGCATAGCAGGCGTGGCATTTCCTCGGCACCATAAGGGGTGCGCAACGGGTGGTGTCTGAGCGCGGCCGCTACGCACGCCTGTCGCGCATGGCATAGCAGGCGTGGCACTTTCTCGACACCATAGGGGGTTGCGCAGGCGGTGCGGTGTCCCAGGGCCTAGCGGGCGTGGCATTTTTTCGAGGCCACAAGGGCAAGCAAGCGGGGGGGCGCTATCATCATCATCATCATCATCATCATCATCATCATCATCATCATCATCATCATCATCATCATCATCATCATCATCATCATCATCCAGAAGTGTGGCCACCCCGGCTCATGCAGGCTCAGGCTGCTCGATACGTGAACGCGGACGACCGCCGGTGACTTTCTGTCAAAGGTACGGTCCCCGTCATGGCGCCCAAATGCGCCATGTCCGCGTTGCCACCGCCGTGCGAGCAGCTCACGAAATCAATGCTACAGATGGGCGCCAAGGTGAACCTGCATGGGTTGCGCGGATATGTGTCAGGCATGGGAACGTCTTGGCGCGCAGCGCATTTGATGCTTACCACAGACAGCTGGCAAACTGATGGCTTGAAACGCTCTTCACTAGGTACTGAATTGCCGCGTAAACGAGGTGCCGACGATGCCAGGAGGCAGCGGTTGGCTAGGTATTTGCTGAACCCTTCGTCTGCATCATTCACACAAGTTTCACGTCAGCTATCATCACACCAAACATAGTATTGGTATGTGGGGTTCCTCGGTGTCGTAATTTGTATGCTGATCCCGCTGAAGCGCTAACCTCATTTTCGGGCTTCCGCACGTTCTGAATCGCGATCCCACTGCAGCGCTGGCCTCATTTCTGCGTTTCCGCTCGTTCCGAATCCTGCCCCCGCTGCAGCGCAAGCCTCATTTCCGCGCTTCCGCTCGTTCCGAATCGCGTTCCCTCTGCAGCGTTGGCGTCATTATTTCCAGTGCCGTGCCACGGCATGCAATGCAATGCTATGTGGCGTTCCGCTGCGCGATGCCATGCCTTCAGCTGCAATGCTAGGATAGGACACGCAGCGCTTGACCACGCAGTGCCACGCCATGCTGTGCCATGCTACGTTTTGATATTCAACGCCATGGTATACCATGTTATGTTCTGTGCCGGTGAGCGATGCCATTATTCGCGTTGCAACGCTTCGCGATACAATTCTTCACTACGCAACGCCACGCCATACTATAACATACGACGCTTTGCCGTGCTCTTTTACGCCCTGCTATGCCGCGCTCTACGTTACATCGCGCACCCTCTCGGGACCATTGCCCCGTTCGACATCCGACTGTGCGAATAGAGAGGAGATCGAAGCTATGCTAAGGGACGGGAGGGGAGGGGTAGGACGTCAGACATGACGCGGGCGCACCTAGCTTGTCCCCTCCTCTTCTTTTCCCTTACATGTCTTTTTCGCCTCAGCCGACACCGTGAGTTCCCAGCGGTGGGGTTGGGCGGCTCACACCCCGCGAGCACGCCATCGCTTGCGCTGTTTGCTCCATGTGCTTTTTGCGTCCCATTTCCTCATCTGCCGTCGCTCCCTCCTGCTCCGACTCTGCCGTTTCCTCCGCGATGACCTTGATGACGGATGGACAAGCGCGCGGGGAGGGGAAGAAGAGGCGGGGGAGGGGGGGGAGAGAAAAGGAGGAAGAGGAGGAGGAAGAATTGAAGGATCAGGTGCAGGAGACGGAGGAGGGGGAAGGGAGGCTGGGCATGATGCCATGGTGTCGCAGTATCGAGGCGATTGGCCCTGCTCTCGATCAGTGGGCACCTTGCGCTTCTCAGGCGGGTCGACCTGACTGGGTCGGGATCCAGACCCTGCCTTGGGTCAGATCGGGCTCTCTTCCATCCTCATCCTATTTCTACTCCTCTCTCTCTTTCTTCCTCTCTCTCTCTCTCTCTCTCTCTCTTTCTTTCTATCTCTCTCTCTCTCTCTCTCTCGCTATTTCTCTCTTCCAAGCTGCTACCCTTCTCCTGATGCTCCTTAACTTGATTATACCCCTCATCATCATCATCATCATCACCATCATCACCATCAGCAGCAGCATCATCAGCAGCAGCAGCGTCGTCCATTATGTTCCTTTTGCTCTTGGTCGTCATCATCGTCACGGCCATGTTGGTTCAAGCCATGTTAGATCAAGGCTCGAGGCCACTGCCGCGGCGCCCCTGTCATTACCAGGCGCCCTCAAACGGAAGAGGTCGCACCACCGTTCGCGCGCCACGGAGGGAGGGCCATGTCGGCCCACCGTTTCTGTGTGCGCACGCGGTGGCAGTTCTGGGACTATGTGGGGGGCGAGGAGGCGAGGTTGCCAGACAAGAAGGCCAGGCGGCAGCAGAAGAGCCCAGGGAAAGAAGAGGTACGCCGGTTCGGAATGCGACGTAGAGAGGCAGGAGGAGCAGGAGGACCAGTGCAAACCCAAGACTCATCAACGATGTTGCAATAAACCCTCCCTCCAAGCTTCCTCTTCGTAGAGCCCTACAAATATTCATGCTCACTGTGGGAAGTGCCCCGTTCGAAGGTAACCGTTTGAAAATCCTGAGCCGTGCCAGAGAACCATTCTTGGGACTTCAACGCCGCGAATCAACTTTACTGGTGCGCCCTGACGATCGTGAATCGTGCCAGGACACATATCCTGGAACTTGAACACCGCGAATCAACGTAACTGTTGCGCCGTGACAGTCCTACATCGTGCCATAACCAATTCCTCGGACGTCAACCATGAGAATCCTTGAAACTGTTGCAAATTCTTCAGACGAATGTGCGCGCCACTAAGGCAAGAGCCACAGTTTGAAGACAGCCCGCCCTCCATCCGTAAAACTCTTGCGAACTTCTAATGCGAATGAGCGCGGCGGTAAGGCGAGAGCCACATCTTGAAAACCGCCCGCCCTCCACCCGTGAAGGTGTTGCAGCTTTCAGGCTTCAGGATCAGGCGAAACGCCCTGCCCGCCCTGCCGACCAGTTTGGGGGTGCGACAGGGATAAGTTCTCTCCAAGGAAGAGGGATGATAGAGGAGAAGGAGGAGGAGTAGGAGGAGGAGGAGGACGACGACGACGACGACGCAGAGGAGGCGAAGGAGCTCGTGGAGGACTAGGTGGGGGGACCGCGGAGAACAAGGGTGCCACAGGGCAGAGAAGCAGGCAGCCCCTCCCAGGAGGCCACCCCGAGGAGCGCTCGCGAGGAGGCCTCGCTCGGGGGAGAGGAAGCCAGCGCAGACAGACCCCAAGCCTGAGCAGGAGGTGGACGACCAGCACGCCCTCCCTCCCTCTCCTCGCCCGTCTGTCTTTCCCCCACTTACCGTTCACGTACCCCCGTTGGAGCGGTGCTCCAGGGGTCACCTGGCCTTCGTTTGGTCAACCCCCCATGGCCGACCGGCACTGATGGGGGGGAGGCAGCGCCCCACGGACCTCATGCAATCAGGAACCAGGAACCACAACGGCCAGGACCACGCGATCTCGAAAGAGGTTTGGATGTTTCCCTCCTGGGTCAAAGCCCCAGAGCAGAGAACCACCGACAAGGCGACGAAGGTACAGGCGCCACGGATATTAACCCGAAGGAGTAGAGACAATGACGAAAGCCACCTGCTGCGTGGTCATCCAGAACTTGAAGAACGACGCACGGGAGCTCCAGGACGAGCGAGAAGCTTGGCCGACGGAGGGGAGATGTTTCATTAGCTTCCGCAGCGGCGAGGGCAGCGGCGCGAGGAGAGGCGGGAGAGACAGCACGTTCGATCTGGGCCTCGTGCTGGGGGAACTCGTTGTCTATGGGACGAAGGACGACAAGGAGGAACATCCAGAGGAAGTGGGAAACCATGAAGACGGGTTGCAGGCAGACCTGGATCCGTGCTCGCCTGAGGACACCGATTGTGAGCAGGTTGATGGCCAGTGCACGTGAGGGCACGCGCGGCCTTACACGAGCACGCCGCGCAATGGCCTCACAACGAAAGTCGTCATCATCGTCATCACCACCATTGCCATCATGGTCGTGGCTTACCCGTGCTTTTCGCGGGGAACGGTTCTCTCTGCTAGACTCACTGGTCAGAGCGACTCGGATCCGAGATAGATCGGGGTGAGGGCTTCGCCTCGCCTCACGTTCAAACCACACCCGAATGAGATTCCCCAAAACAAAAGCTGTTCTCACACCGTAAGGTACAGGGCCCGAAGGGCCGACAAAACAGTAAAGCAAAGGGCCGTCTGAAAGCGTTTGGAGACTAGCTCGGAGGCGCGAGGCACGGCAACGTGTTTCGTATGGCCGTCGCGGGCCCGAACGCCTGGGCACCTTAGGCCAAGGCGAGTGATGTCGGCAGACATCACATTAATAATATAAGTTGGGACACTGAAACGACCACAGCCACCACAGCGACACGTGTGGGAGACGAAAAAAATCGATTCAAAGCTGGGAAGCGAGCAGCGACCTTACCACTTACTACCGAGAAACAATTCAAGGCAGCCGGAACTCCCAACCGACGAGCGATTGATATCAATTGGACGAGTCCCGTCGCTATTAATTCCGAGCTCAAATAATCAACGACCGCACCAACGTTGTCAGCACGCATATCGCACCTCACACGGAACGACGCAATGTCACTGATATGTTGGTTTGGAATATATCTAGTTTGGCATTTTGCCCTCACGATTGCAGTCAGTTGCATGAACCGACTGCCGATGATCACCACGAAGAGCCGCCTCTCGTTCACGGGGAGTGAGAAACGGGCTTCGGCAGCACCTTGCCGTGCACCAGGATCTCCACAAATTTCTCCTCGCAGCGCTCGGCGTGGGCACGGAGCAAAACAGGGTGAGCCATCCAAGTCGAGCTGAGCCGAGCTCCTTTCTCGTATCGGACTACCGGTCGGTCGTCTTTCCAGCCGCCTCGCTTTTTCATTTCTGCCGGCGTCCGCTTGCGGGTCGCTATTTCCTTGCTGGCGCCGCTGTGGCGGGCCTGGTGCACTACCAGGTTGAAGCCCCAGCTGGGGGCAGGTGAAGGTCCAGACCTTCTCGCCCTTGGGCGTCGACCAGATAGCGGACAGCATCGGCACGAGGATCTCCTACCAGCTATGGTCTAGCTCGGTGGTGACGTCGTACTCCTTCGCCTTCGAGGAGACTCCCTCGATCTCTCGGTTCAGCTGAACGGTCCGGTAGGTGGCAACGCAGTTGGGAGCATAAAGGTACTCGGGTCGCAAGGCCATCAGCTGGATTGGGCGGGCGCAGGTGCTCCACATCAGGCACAGGAACAAGGCCATGTCGAATCGGCCCATCGCGCAGAGGCCGTTGATCACCGCACACCCGATGGGCCAGGCCTCTGGCAGCCGCGAGGCCGACGGGCAGAGGTTCTGCCACCCCTTCGGGGCCCGCCAACTGCGCTGTAGAGTGGGAGGTCCACTCTTCCCGGCCTGCGGCTGGGCGTGCACGACCCCCGCGAGCAGCTTCATCCCTCGGGCCGCCGAGACGCCTCGACGGATTTGGCGGTCCATCTGCTCCACCAGCCGATCGTCGAGGTCGCCCAGCGGGATGTCGACCCCACGGCTCACGTTCGCGAGGCGGCTGAATTGGTGAATTTTCTGAGCGTACTGCGCTTCGGTCCGAGTTCGCACGGCCGCGTGCTCTCCCAGCGTCAGGTGGGACAGCTCGGGGGCGACAGGAGACTCCATCAGCTTCGCGAGGGCGTCCTTCCGCTTGCGGGGGACAGTGCGGCGCCGAGAGGGTGGTACCTCGGGGGCCGCCTCCGCCTCGTCCTCGGTCTCGAAGTTCGAGACCTCCGCGAAGCTCGGATCGCTCTTGATCAGGTTGCGCAATTGCTCGAGCAGCGTAACCACCTCGCCGTCCGTCAAGTCTGGCAAGCTCCCGCGGGCCGCCAGCGCCTCCAAGCCTCGGTACCCTCTCGCAGCCAGGGTGCGGGAAGTGCGCGGCCGCGAGGCGGATGGGGGCTCGCTGCTGGTGGCCTGGCGCTTCCTGGTAGGCTGGGCTAGCGGGGCCCCCGCGGGGCGCGAAGGAGCAAGGACTCGGAAACGGATTGGTAACGTAGAGGGGTCCGGTAGCAGAAGAAGAAGCTTGGCTTGGGCCAAAATGCTTACGGAAGCTCGGCGAGGCGCAGCTGGAAGCGCTTTCGTTTTTTCTTGTGGGGGTTCATGGCTGTACAAACTCGAACTATCAGACGGCCAGGCTCGCCAACACTGGAAACGCGACGATGCTCTCGGCAAGGCTCAACTGGAGGCCCCCTTGGACCCAAGTTAGGCCGGCCTTCCAGGCCAGCGTCCCGAAGAAACACAGGCACCGACTTCGGCAATACAAACGAGCCACGGGCTGCGGCCACGTCGGGGCCAAGCTGTTCCCAGGGTTCCTCCGCGATTTCAAGGGTCTGTCCAAAGTCACCAGGGGCGGGCTCTATGCGAGGGGGTCGGCTAACATCGTCCTCCTTACTGGCAGCGGGACGCGAGCGAGGCTGGAAGAGGCAAGAGGCAGCGTCGGCAGGGTTCTTTCCGACGGTATCCACCGATCAGAGAGGTGGATATTACGGCTGAGGCACCAGGCGGCTAGCCTCCTCAGGACGACCAGGATCTTGAAGCTGCGGCAGCGCCACCTGCCGACAGCGAGCACGAGGTCGAGGTTGGCGGCAGAAAGCACCTGCTGAATGTTGCGCCCGAAGCGTGTGCGGCTGACCCGCTCCAGGCCCCGAAGAAGGGCCCGCGCCTCGAGCACCATGACGTCCTCGATCTTGTTGCACTTCCACCCGCCGAGGCGCCTGCTCTGTCATGAAGGTCGGCACCTCCGCGAAGCTGGGATCAGGCTGCAGGTCGTCGTGGCCCAGGCAACCCTCGACGCCCAGGCTCTCAGGAAGCTCCCGGTCGTCGTGACCTCCAAGGGCAGCCGCCCTAGCGGCCAGGTGGTCCTCGGTCAGGTAGCGATCTTGCTCACGGCAGCGGCCGACCGAGGCAACGTCCTCAGGGTCGAACCAGCGCGAGCAGATGCCGTACCCCCATTCAGAGGCGTCCGTCGCCACGATAAGCGGGTTCCAGCCCGATTCCCAGCTAGATACCAGCAGCACCATCAATCCCGCGAAGACGCGCAGCTCGTCGGCCACCGAGGGCCAGAGAGAGACAGGCTGGACGTAGCGTTTCCTGGTGAAGGGGTAGACCGTCGAGAACACCGTCAGCGTCTCGCGGCGCACCAGGCAACAGAAGTTGGCATGGCCTATCACGGTTTCCACCTGGCGGCCAGAGATCCGGCGGCGGGCCGCAAGACCAAGGAGCGCCCCCTTGCACCCACCAAACACGTTTCGGCGTCAGCCTCATACGCCGACGCCGACCATCCAGCAGTACCACGAGCGCCTCGGCGCCCGTGTCGGAAGTGGCCATCTCATGCACGGAGAGGCCCTTCGCCTCGAAAGCCGCGCAGACGTCGTCCAGCTCGGACGCAACGACCTTGCCGTCGGAGCCGAACACGCCGATGTTATACACGTAGATGTAGCGCCTTGTGTTCGCAGCACGCTCGCCACGAAGCGTGAGCACCAGCGGCTGACCATGATCACGAAGTAGCTCAGCAAGATCCCAAACTTTGCGGGCAACCTCCTCGTCGATGTCCTGCGCCAGAAACAGGCTCCAGGAGAAGCCCATGAGCAGGCACCGTGGCGTGGGCGTGATCCTGTCGTCGGGGCCCACCTCGCCGTCCACGATCTGCGTGACGCCCTCGTCGCCAGCATGAACCTGAGGCAAGCCAAACCATATTGAAAGCCAAGAAGGGGTACCCATTCTATGAAAAGCGTCTTGCACATCTGCGGTCCCGCAGTAGAGGGACGAGCACTCGCGTCCGTCAGAGAGAGCTCCACCTCGATGAGGTTCAAGCCTTCGACCGTCAAAAGTTCGACGTGCGGCGGCGGCGCTAACCGCCGACTGGTCAGACGCCCGTCCAAAATGAGGCAGAGTTTCCCATTCTTGCGTGCAAAGAAAGAGACCCGTTCGTTCATGAGCCCAGCGGCCGAAGACCAGCATGCTCATGGCCTTGAGATCGCGGACGAGGCGGGCGTAGAGCGTTGGGCTGCTGGCAAGCTGGAGGTCCACATGGCATCGTTCAGACCATCATCCTAGTAGTTACCCGCAGTCGGATCCAGCATGCGCTCTCCTGCGCCCGCCAGGTAAGATCGGCCACGGTCCCCCACCAAGTCCAAGATGCCAGGCACGTCGGTCCGCATCTCAGGCAAGGAGGCCCGACCACACCGGTGCGGCGCGAGTGTAGTCGAGGCATCCATCCAGTAACCAGATGCTTCGTCACAGGGCAACTCTCGAAGGGCCACTTCTGGCGGCAAGTAAAAGTCACGACCACCGTCACGCACTTGAAGCTCCGCCAAAGCCTCGAGGCAAGCCAGGTCCTCGTACAGTCGAAGGGGAGCTTCCCGAGGGAAACCTTCCGAAAACAGGGCGGGAGCACCAGAACGACCTCGCACACCAGGCGGTCGGCGACCACCAGTCGTCGCAAGCCAATTAAGTGCATTCGAGGCCCCCTCCAGCAACTGTCGCACGTGATCCCGAGCACGGTAGCGCGCAGCACGTCGACCGCCAGAAGCCGGGGCAGGTTCTCGCCGAGGAGCGGCCAGCGGGAATTGCTCAAAAATAGCGGGGCGCCCAGGCGCCCGAAAATCCCCCATTTTCAGCGGCGAAAAGGGCTTGTCCACGGTCCGTCACCTTGCTCACTTACTCTTCGGGGCTGCGGTGGCCTTGCCGCCCCGCCCGCCCCGACCTGCCCCGTCGCCGCCGCCGCGGTCGGCAGCCGCGTGGCCGCCTCCAGCGTCAGCGCCATCTGCGGGCCGCGGCTGGCGCGTGCGAGTAGACTCCATCTCACTCTGGTCCTTCAGCTTGCTGATGCCCCACTTGCGAAGGACAGGCGCGACGGCGTCGTCGTAGTTGGTCGGCGCGCCGCTGCCCGCCGAGTAGGCGTCGATCACACCCAGCATGCGGCGGACGATCTTCTCGATGCCCGCCGACGCGCCGAGGTTGAGTTGGTCGCACTCGCCGAATAGCTTGAAGCTCTCGGTGAGTGTGATCATCTCGTGATAGACCCGATCCGTCTTAGTTATGGTGCTGCAGCGCGCGAATTTCTGCCACCACCGCCGTGGATCGCCACCGTACCGCTCAGTGTGGCGAGCGAGGTGTAGGGCTCCCGGCGGCCCCTGGACCTCGATGGCGGTGATGGGCTCCTCCCTTCTCTCCTGCACAGCCTTCCTCCAGCTCTTGAACCTCTGACCGACATCGTCGAAGTCGACCCACAAGGTGCGGACGTCGTCCCCGTGGAGCTCGGGCTCGGGCTGGGCTTCCGAGCGTGCCAGAAGGGCGGCGGCGCCCGCGGGGACGCCAAGGCCTGAGTAGCGGGCCTTGAGGTTGCGAACGAGCTCGACGCAGTCGGAGCTGGCCACGGCCTGCACTCACAAGAACGCCCCATGCCGATGCACCAACCCGTCCGTCGAGGTCACCGCGATGCCGCCCGCGCGCAGGGTAGCCTCCATGCCCATCGTCTCGGCGCCCTCCGCGCTCTCCGTGGTGAGCCACAGCAGCTCGTCGCGAGGGGCAGGCCGCTCGGCCAGCGCGGCCAAGCACGGGGCCACCGCCGTACGCGCAGGCGCCGCCTCCTCGGCCGCGGCCTCAAGAACCTCGGCGGGAGGAGACGGCGGCGGGGTGGCCGTGCCACCCACGGGCGCAGGCGCGCCGCCCACGGCAAGCGGGCCCGCGGCGCCACGACGCAGCCTGCGCCCGACGCCCGCGAGCGGTGCCAGCTGCCCCTGGTCGTTCACGGAGTGGGTGAGGGGAGGCAGCTCTTGCCCGCCCGACCGCATCCGAGCGACGGCGGCCTGAGCCTCGCGACGATTCCGATCGTCAGTGGGGTAAGCGTCGCCAGCAAACCTCGAGAACTTATCGCGGAGTGTCGGCGGGCAATTGCCCATCAGGTCAAGCATCACCAAGCTCTCGCCGCCCTCGTCAGCCTCCATCGTGATATCCTCCTCGTAGAAATCCCCGTCTGGGGTCACAACCCACCAAAACACACACCGTTACCATCATCTTTTCTGAGGTCAGGCCCCATAGCAACTCTCTCATGCCAAAGGTCCTCGCCAGGATACTTGATGGCCAGCAGCCGGCCAGGTTCGAGGCTACTCGATAACTCCTGCACTGATAGCAACGAGCGCCATTGCTGAGCGCGAGGCCGACAGCGAAGCTGAACCAAGACCACCGCGAAAAATTGCACCAGGCACACCACGATGGCCGTGATCGCACTCAGCTTCCAGTCCCGCTCGTACGTGCTGCAACTGACCTCGCAGACGCAGCACCTCGACTTCACGCGCCTGGCGATGTCCTCGACGATCCCAGGGTTCACCGCTGACTCGGTGCAGCTCACCTCCACCCTCGCAGCAGGCGCAGGCGGCGGCTCCACAAGCGACTCGCGCTCGCACGGCGCGACCGGGCAGCCGCTATGCCACGGCCGCTCCGCGACGTCGCGGCGAATGAACGTGAGAGTGGCCAGAAAGATGCCGATCGCAGATTGCATGCGGTGAAATCTCTCGAGCCAGAATGACTACAGCGTGACACGATCAGGATCGATGAGACCGACGCCCAAACCCCGCTAAGTCATTCATGTGCACGCACCCCCATGACCATCGTCATTATCGTGATCGTTATCGTGCTCCTCCCCCGATCTGCATCCTCCGATCTGCCTCCACGCCTTCTGCCCCCGAGAGGAGCCAAGATCCGCATCCGAGGCCGCGGCAGCGGCCACCTCGAGATGGAGGGGAAGAGCGAGGCGCCGAGGGGCCAGGAAGAGGAGACGAGAGGGGGGGGGGTAAAAGCTAGGCGCCGGGCGCCGGGGATAAAAAAGAACTAGTTACTTGCCTTTCCCGTAGCCTCTGGAGACCTCCAGAGGAGGGGGCGACCAGGAGGCAGGGGGAGCTGGGAGGGGAAAAGCGGAAGAAGGACGAGGAGGTGGGAGCCGGCGAGGTGTGGCGGAGGGGAGAGGGGGAGAGGATAAAGAGGAGTTGGAGAGAGGGAGAAGAGGGAAAGCGGGAGGAGTCAAGGGCAAAAGAGGGCACGGCGACGACGGCGACGACGCCGCCGGAATCGAGGCGCCCACGCCGCTGATGGTCGCCGTGACCTCCGACCACCGCGACGCGGACGGCTTCAGGGCCGCCGTCGGCGAGATCGTCCAGGCCCGCCGAGGGCCGCCCGCAGGGGGCTCGGCGGCCACGCCTGGCCCAGCGGGCCTCGCGCCTCGGTGGCCTCGCGCCTCGGTGGCCCGCTGCTCGGTGACGGCGTGCACCCGCTGTCGCTGGTGTCGCCCTCGCCTCTGCTCCGCCACCGCCCTAGAGGCCCCCATAGGTCGCCCCAAGACGGCGCGAGAGGTTCCTGGGAGGGCCCCCCAGAGCGGCCCCAGAGAGCTCCAAGACGACTCAATAGGCCTCCAAGACGGCCCAAGAGGCCCCCAAGACGGCCCCAAGAGGGTGCCGTCCTGGACGCTGCGCACATGAAAACGGCGAATGCGGTACAAACGTGCGCTTCCCCGTCCGCTCCGTGCTTCTCCTGCTCGTCCGCTGCGTCCTCCTCCTACTCCTCGAGCCTTGGGGTCCGGGCAGTCAGCCTGCGCAGCTCACACATCCGCGAGATGGTCGCGGTCGTGCCTGCCACCACCTTAACCGCCATCGGACGACCTTCTCTTGGGCGATCGGGTCTCCTCCTCCTCCTCCACCTCCTCCTCCCCCTCCTCCTCCTCCTTAAGCGTTGCCCGAGGTGTTCCCGGCCCACGGTGCCCCTGGGATTTCCCGAGAGGCTCAGGGGTCCTCCAGAGCCCCAGGGGCCCCAAAGTGGCCCGAAAAGCTGGGGGCACCCTGGGCCAGGACCACTTCTGGTAGCACCCAGCACCCTCCTCCGCTCGACTCCACGAGAGCAACGCCGACGCGCTTAGACCTCGAGGATCCGCCTGCAGACCTTAGGCCCGTCCGCCGTGCGGCCGAGCGCAGCCGCTTAGGCCCGGCCGCGACAAGGAGACGAATCCCAACTGGGACGCGGGATCCCACATCGCCGCCGTACCACCTCTGCGTGTCTGTGGGGCGGGCGGGGCGCATCGTATGATATTCTCGCGGATTCTGGCCTTGTCGAGGTTTGAAAATTCTCACGGCACGTCTTATGGCTAAAAGGGTGCAGGGCGGCTCCAGTTCAAAACCAGGCTCTCGATCGAATGGCAAGCGCACGGAGCGCTCCTCTCCAGGGAGCGCTCCCAGCTGTCAAAACGAAGATTCGCAACATATGAGGAGGGGACTTGGGACAGGAGGGTGTACTGCAGCATCACCGATGCATATTTGGGGTTTTATGGTCCTCATCACCAATTCCTTCTTGTAGTCATCCACCGTCTCATACTCCTCCTCCTCCTCCTCCTCCTCCTCCTCCTCCTCCTCCTCCTCCTCCTCCTCCTCCTCCTCCTCCTCCTCCTCCTCCTCCTCCTCCTCCTCCTCCTCCTCCTCCTCCTCATTCTCCTCCTCCTTCCGTAGCCATTTTGGCTCAAGATGTCCACCTGGGAGGCTGTTCAGCCTCCAGGCAGCAGGGACACCGCTGATCCGCGGCCAGATCCAACAACGCGTGCAGCCATTTTGCCCTCGGAGCGCGCGGCCCTCGCATGCCCCCGAATGGCGGCGCTCCCAAGCGCAAAAAGAAGCCTCATGCGACGGGGCGTCCAACAGCTGTGCGGGGTGGAGCTGATGATGCTGCTTATGCTGGCGGTCGGGTGGACGATGATCGCTCGAGGTCGAGCCGTAACGTCTCCGAAGCTGAAGATAATGCATACGACATGGCCGATGACGACTGCGGTGCCCACATCAACGGCCTCATTGCCGAGCAGCTCGGCAAGCGCCTCCCGCAGGAGTTCAAGACCCTCAAGGATGAATTGGCCACTATCGCGTCTACCTCCGCGGCCGACGCTGCTGGCAAGGCTGTGGACCCAGTTATGGATGCCGTCCGCACACTCGAGAACGCGATTAAAGCCGTCCCTGGGAACTGCAAGAACGAAATGGAAGCTCAACTGCGATCGGAACTCAACGATCTCGAGCAGCGCATCCAGCGCCAGTTGGACACCGTGGCTGCCAAGATCGACGACGTGGATGCTCGCACCGAGACCCTCGCCAGGCAGCTTGCCGACATGAAAAGTTCTATGGAGGAAATGCGAAAGGAGCTTGCCATGGCCAACAAAGTCCCGCAGCCTCCCAAGCCCGCTGGCATTGGCTTCCAGCGGAACGTCGACGGCACCATCCTCAAAGCCGTCGCGCCCACGATGGTCTGTAAGAAAGATGTGGTCACCTCGGTTGAGAAGTGGCTCCAGGACGCTAAGACCGAAGGCTTCAATATTGAAGGAGATGAACAGGACCGCATCTTCGCCGTTCAGTTCACAGGCGCCGTCGGCCTCGCCTGCAAGCGCGTCTCCCAGGCCCTGGCAGCGCTCCGCCTCGGCAAGGGCCAGTGGATGCGTTTCCCCGTGCCCGCTGCTTCTGGCGGCTCAACGCAGCTGCACATCGGGCCAGATAAGTTAAGTCGCCGCACCAGATCAAGCTCGAGATCGCTGGCGAGAAGGTCACGAACGTGCTCCGCGAGGTGCACCCGCAGTGCAAGTTCTTCTTCGATCGGCAGAATGGTTGGCTATCTGAGAACTGGAACCCTGTGCTACGACTCGAACCTCAGCCTGGCCGCGACCCCACGCTCTGCTACTTTCACGATGCCGCGCTCACCTCTCGAGGCTGGACGCGCGCTGGTATCAACAAGTCGATCGGGCACACCCTCAAGCCCAACGCGGAGCCAGCATGGTCCCTTTAGCAAGAACGATGACATCTCCTACCACAAGGTTGACGGCGGCCCGCCGCCGCGTTGCCAGGAGCTCACGTTTGCGTCGTGGAACGCTCGGGCGTTGCTGCAATTCCGCGGCGCGCGCTCGATGTGCAAGGCCTCCTACCTGGACCCGATCGGCATCTCGCCATCCGCCGTCGCCATCCAAGAGGCACACCAGACCCAGGGCGAGCTGGAACTGCACATGCGCAGAGTCGCACCATCAGCTACTGTCTTTGGTTCTTGCGAATATGTACATGATAGTGATGATGAGACAGGTCGTGGCCGAGGTGGTGCGGCTACTATCGCGCCGCTTGTTGCTTGCCTTTTGCACGTGACGCCTCGCCCATGCCTCTCATCAGGGGCAGAGTCATGCGGGCAATCTCGGCGGGGCTCGCGCGCTGAGATTCGCCGCTACAACATTCACAATCATGGGCTCTCGGCGGCAGAAGTTCAGAAGGTGGCCAAAGCAATGCAGGCTGATATGGATTGGGCTTCTCTCAATCACAGCTCTCGATTAGTAGTCGTATGTGGCGACCTCAACTTCGCGGCCCACGACGCGTTCCACCCGACGCAACCGACGGCAGCAAAGTCACGCAAAGTTGCGAACGACTCTCGCTCCCACGCCAGGCGTTGGTCTTCGGTTTTTGATCGGATGTTAGAGGTAGCGTCTGAGGATCCGACTCCTTACTGCCAGGACACGAAGGCCGTGTCGCAGATCGATCGGCTCTGGCTTTCTGAACCGAATTGGATGTCGTGCCAACTCCAGCACTCCGCGTCGGTCGTCTCCACGCCCGGAGAGATGCACGCCAAGGAGGTTTCGGACCAGGCGGCGGTTCGTGTTCATATTCGGTATCGAGATCTGGACGGCTGCTATCGCAAGCCCGTCCCTGTGCATATCTATAAACGGCCTGAGTTTCAGCGGCGCCTAGGCGTGCTTCTCGACAACGATGGTCAGTTCTTATTGGGCATGTCACGACCGAGGCAGTTTTTACGATATAAGGACTTGGTTCAAGCATCAGCGTTCGACACAATGCGGAGTATATTGGTCAACGAGAGTGACTCCCTGGAAGCCCAGTTGATATTTGTTCGTCAAGCCGCTCGATGCGTCTGGCGGCAGAACACTATTCGTGCTCAGAAGTTATGCCATGCCTCTGAAGTTGCGCGATCGTGTTTGCAGGTGCAAGACACCCAGGTCATCATCACGGACTATGCAGCTTTGTCAGGCTCGGGTGGATACTATTCAACATCGGTCGGCTGAGCTGGAAAGGGAGCGCTTACAACATGATGCGGTCCACGGGAAAGGTCGTCAGCGTCCACCAGCTGGTACGATTGCAGCGGTGCAACGGAAATCTCGGCTTTGGGTTCCGTTCTCGAAGAAGCTACCATTGCGTGCCATCGAGGTCGACGGCATCGCATACACCGACCCCGTCGAGAAGCTGGACGCGCCCACGCGCTTTTGGGCACCAATATCTGCCGCTCCCCAAGCTTTTCCTGCACACACAAGGCGCTATGCTGAACGATTCGTGCACCCCTGCGCGCTTGATGGACTGGTACCTCCGTCTCCTGAGATGCTGCAGCGCGTGCTTGTAAAACTTGCGCCGTCGCGATCCTCTCCCGGCGTCGACGGGCTGCCGTACGCCGCTTAGGCCGCCCACGAGATGGGCGCGAAGGCCCTCTGGCCCCCATGTGTATGGATGATGGACGGGCAACGTTTATTCGCACAGTGCGGCGACACTCTTCAAGCTTTTCTTCCCGAAGGCTGCCAAGCAGGTGACGATGATGCCAGAGGTGTCAAATGGTCCCCTGACACGGTGCGCACGCTCGGGCTGCGCAACACGGACATGAAAGTTAGCTCGGCCACTTTTAACGCCGCCTTCTCCCCGATCGTGTTGAGCTCTACATCGGCAGCGCAGCGTGGATTCATCCCGGGCCGACAATTCACTTCAAACATCCTGGAGCTCGACGCGGCAGCCAGAGCCGCCTCGCTGACGCCCGACCCGCTGGAGCGCACGCCGTTGCTCGCGGCTCTGGATTCTGGGCAAGCGTTCCTCAGCCTCAGCCAGAGTTACCTCTTCATCATTATTGAACATCTTCGGCTTCCAACAGCACTACCACAGGCGATACGCTCCCTCTACGCGATTGCCACAGCCTTAGGCAGAGCTGCAGGTGTCACAAAGGTCCTCTTCCGAGTCTGGTGCGGCATCATTCAGGGCTGCGCCTTATCAGGGAGCTTGTTCGCGGCAGCTACATCGCCGATTTTGGAAGACATCAGGCAGGGGATCGAACTTCGACATCGGGGAGTCTTTCGTGCGTGTGCTGATGACATCGGGGGAGTGCTATT